ACAGTATGATCTTATTTACAACCTATCGATACGAACGTCGCTGTGGTGCCTTTCCAGCCCGAGCGAGTAGGCAACCCGCTCGCCGTACGGGGAGGTGGGCTAGCTGAATTAGCCACGTGGTAGTATAGGTACGTCGAAGCGGGACCAGACAGATTAAATCTCAACAAAAACACTAGTAAAATTATTTATTAGGACTGCACTTCGGCTCCTACCGTCCCGCTACAGCACTAGCGCTTCCGGTAAGCCGCTGTGACACGATGGGACAAAATGGACTTTGGAATCGACGTCGATTCGACGTCGTAGAACATTCTTCGAATTGCTTGACAAAATCGAATCAATGTCGAGTCGAATTTGCCCCCGATCAATACCTATCGACCATTTATTTATATTATTTCTCACAAGGAGTGCGAGAAACCCGTCCCATTACTGTTATCAATTTCGAACTACAACCCGTGATAATTTGGCCAAGACGTTGAAGCATATGTGAAGTTCTTTCCGCTCATTGTAAAGCTGGACCTCGATGCGCCAGCTGTGCTTTAAGACGGGGACATGTTTCACCGTCTTTACTAAGGTGTCGATGTCCAGCGTGGAGTTGACCGCGACGTAGTGCCCCTGCAAAATACTACGGATTACGAAAACGTCGAAGTGTCAAATTGCATAGGGTCACGCCTTTTGCATCCCTCTAAGCTGAAAAAAGTAACATTTACCGCACCCACCGCACCCTACCTACACACCAAAAAAGGGGACGGAACAATTTTGTTCCACGAGTGGACGCGATTTCGAGCTCTTTATTTACGTGGAACAAACCTGCTGTATTTTTATTTTTTTGACAATTTGTACCAGCTTCACTAGTCCGGATTTAAATTGTCCCACAAAAATGGTACAATTTGTCCCAAACTAATATTGTGCATGTAATTGCGTCGTTTTTCTGCACAAACGAGAAGTGTCCCTCCCTTTAGTGTGTAGGGAGGAGGGGGGGCATTGCCTCTCTTATCCGCCCTCTGGATAAGGGTTGTGCATAACAGAGGATGCCAATAACCGTTCCATCGCGCGCACCTCCTTGACGGGGCAGCTGAATCTCGGCACAATGTTCTGCACGAGCGGGGCCCACACCGTGCCGTTGACGAACAGGAGCGAACAGACAGACACGTCCCAGGACCAGGAGTTCCAGCTCTCGCATGCACCTCTGTCCAGATGGCATTTCTCGATGTTGACTCGGAACTGGAACAGCATTTAGATTATTCGAAGTTAAATTTTTTGAAGAGGGATTTTTCCATTATCGCTCATTCTCATTACACACTGCGCAACTGCGCAAACTTGAAGCAAATCTGTTCAGACCGCGCGTTTCCCCGGTGTTCTCCAATTCGATCGGCATTGGGCGGTGCGCGTTTAGCGGAGCTGACCTGGCAGTACCTCAGCGCCTGCGAGAATCAGGGTAGGCCGCCAAGCAGAACACGCATGCACTGCAGGCAGTACGTTGCCTACCTATCAGGCGCTCTCCGACCTTGCATCGGCTAGGCCGAGCTTGGCATTTTCTTAACAGCGAATTGAATGATGGATGTAACTATACACTGTATGAGTGTTTTTTATTTGTTCGAATTGAGCAATCAATTTGTTTCCCTCAAATTTATGCGATTATTTGAGCACGTTTTTGCATTTGTTTGTAAGAAATCGTGAATTTTTGAGCACAAATTTGTCCGAAACGAGACGTAGGTTTTACTTTGCCCGAATCTTTTCACTCTACAAATGTGCGGCATTATGTAAAACATTCCTGCCGTATTCTTAAGAAACTGTACCATTTCTGTAATGAGTCGTAACCTTTTAGAGACTTTATGAGTACGAAGGTCTTCGTGCAGGGAATTAGGCCTCATGTATTACAATAGAAGACAAACTTTAAGTGCGCGCGCACTTACTCTTTGGAACGACTTGCTGGGCTGTAACACGTTGAAGCCCACCGTCCACAGCTCGTCCCCCGTCTCAGCGAGCTCAATGTTCACGTCCGTGATCCGCAGGTAGTGATCCTTGTCCTTGCAGTGCTGGAACTCGTGGAAGCTGGGTATCAGTCGCGTCCTTCGGGCGGGCGCTGCTGCCTTCGGCAGCGCTCTCTGGAAGCACAAGAACAAGTTTGATCATAGTCGCATTAAGGGTCGAACTCAAAATTACCAGCAAAATCACTCCATGGGATGGTTACTTTTTGGGACTCAGCGTTGTACTCAAGTACTTTTGGATGATGATAAATAATGTATCCGCGAGGCTAACATTTTTCCGGTGGTCTAATGAGGTTTATCCGGATTTATCATTGCAAGTATAAAAAAATAATCATCCCTGAAACGTCCCTTGAGAAACGTATACCCTATCGCATCCTCGTGGACATTGCGGCTGGAGGGGCTCCTCAGAGGCCTCACTTGTTATGATTTAAATGCACGTTTGATTCTTTCGCAGTGGAGAAGTGGAGAACACGTTCGTAAAAATGACGTCAAATGACCTCACTTCAACGTAGCCTACACCGTCAAAATATAGTGTGGTGAGGAGGTATAGCTATAGATTAGCTCAGTTTGGTGTCAAAAGTAGGCCATTGACGGTACGTTTGGAAGATTCTGTGCCGCCTGGTAGTCATTAGCACGGCAAGAGACAAAGCTTCTCGTGTCGGAGGCCATGCACGCCTTTCTCATGTGCGGCCAGACGCCGATGAGAGGTGGCGATTGATGGGGAGGACACAGCCATTGCGCTATCTTTCCCTCCCTATCTTTCCTTTTCCGGTGTCGAGGAGGTGAATGTCAAGCGCGTAACATCGCAGTCAAAATATATACTTCGGTTAGGCAGTCAGATGTGCCTTTTTGGCGTTGACCCGCCTATGACTATCGTGTTTCACGTGCCCCCCCCCCTCTTCCCGGTTTTTCTATTATTTTCCTGTGGAATAATAACAGACTGCCCAGATGGGACGCATCCGCAGGACTTTTGTTCTGGGATGTTGTGACAGCAATCTGGCTCTTTTGTTAAAACATGCGCATGGTTACAATGTAGTTGGACGAATCCGCCACTTGCTAGCTCGTTTCACCACACCACACCGTGAAACTTTAAAAAAGTTTCGTGTGTGGTTGCGTGGTACAACTTCTGTCATGCAAGTAATTAAAAAGTAATAAATTTCGAGACGGCCACCACTACCTTTTTGAACGTACACAGGATTACACGATCACGTTGGATTACAGATTGCAAAAATTTGTTTGTGCATTTAATATGTGTATGAATAATATCGGGGATTTAAGTCCTTGGTTTAAGTAGGCTATACCAGGTGGCTGATTCACTCCGCACACTTTCGTTTCGTTTCGTGTGTGCATGGTAGTATATGGTTGTGATGGTGATGGTAGCCGGTAGCTCCACTTGCCCCCCGCCCCCCCAATCTTCCACCCTGACCTCTTAGACCTATGTAGATTTACCTAAAGGCACACCACGTTCCTTACTTGAAACGTTTCTCTATCCGATGACAAGGACGCACGAGCCGACTGGAGTCCTGAGAGAAGAACCAGCGCGAGTACAGCTGGAACTGGAAGTAAAACTCCAACGATAAGAGTGCGAACCGGGGAGAAGGGGGGGGGAGGGCAAATTATGCTACACAACACTTGTATGTAGACAAAGCTGCAGCGCATGGCGTGTCAGGGCTAGCAGTCATCAGTGTTACGGGTTTGCATAACCCAGGCCTAGGGCCATGACGTCTTACGGGTGGAGAGAGGATGCACCGTAGCCCTGACACACGACTGCGCCGGGGCAGGGGAGGGAAAGGGGGGGGGGGGGGTAGACTGTCCACCCCTTCGGTGTGGGAGAACTCAGGAAGAACGCAGTTTCGCTCACCGTACACCTTGGCGCTACCCGCGCCGGAACTGTTAAGCATGGCAGATTGACACCCCGCAGTGGGCCGTGGTGAACTACCGATCTACTGCCGATGCCGGACGATGAGGCGAGCAGCTACCGTTTGCCCCCCCCCCTCCATTCTACTCCTCCTCTCTTCTCCCCTCCCCCCGAGGTAACCTCCATGCGGAATAAAAAGTGACAGCCAATCCGACCGCTGGCCGTGGCCGCCCGCGGCATGTCGCTAGAGTCGCGTCGAGTGGTCTAACAGGGGTTGGCACCCTCTCTCGTCCACTAACGCGTGCTCTCTGTCGGCGCAGACCGAGGAGAGCCAGCCGACGCCGGCCCTGCAGCCGCCAGGATCGCGCCGTTCGCAGTTCCTGCGCGCCGTGTCGCTGTTCTCGGCGGCGCACCAGCTCGCCGTGCTCGAGGCCCGCGAGGAGCAGGGCGTGTCGCTGCTCGAGCGCAGCACCAGCCTCACCGCCGAGCCGCTGGAGCCGTTCGAGGCCCTGGGCGCGGCGGCGGGCCCGGCGCTGGCGCGCAGCCTCAGCCTACCGGCGGACCAGCTCGCGAAGCAGGTGCAGCAGGGCAGGTCGTCGAGGAGCACCCGCAGCACCCGCAGCTGCAGCCTGGCCGGCGAGCCCTGCGCGCTGCCCCGGCGGCGCGCTGCTCGGGGCGCCACCCAGGTCGGCGCGGCCGCCGCACAGCGCACGCAGCGAGACAAGCCACCCTCGAAGGTAAAGCCCTATCCATGCAGCACGTTCCGAACAAAAGGGGAAATAATCGGGAACCGAAATAAATTACCTGCTTAATTGCCAGAGCGAATCGGCGAGTGACCGGGCCGGGTCAAATCGAGACAGCGAGGAAACTCCTTCTGAAGCGACGCCGAAGAGCCATGCGTCGAACGTCAACGAACCGGACGTAAGGAGCTCGATCAGACCTCACACTACTTTCGATTTGTTTTACTGCTTCTATTCCAAGCATGCATCTCGATTCGCACCGTCTGCAGATGGACCCCGCGTTGGCCGAGCTGCTCCGGAGCCTGTGGGAGGACCCACCCCACGAGTCGGGGCGATCCCCGCGCCCCGAGGCGGTCGCGCCCTCCAGGGACCGGGGCCGTGACCGTGACCGTGACCGGGACCGGGACCGGGATCGGGACCGGGACCGGGACCGCGAGCCGGACGTGCTGTCGGGCCTGTGGCGCATGCTGGACAGCTACGACGAGTTCGTCTGCTCGCCACCGGGTTACCACGCCTTCAGACAGGTTGTTGCGCTTTGGCCTTTCCACCCTAGGGGCCATCCATTAAGTACGTCCGAGCTCGATGGGGAGGGGGGTGTCTCTCAAAAAGGGATGTCGATGGACCTGGGGGGG